CATACATAATAATAATGCATTTTCCACTTGTTTTTTTTTTTTTTTGTTTATAGTGTTTTTGTGTGTGAGTGTTTTGGTATGTTTGTATGTTTTGTGTTTGTTGTGAGCGTAGTATCCGTGTGCGCATGCGAGTCACAATTTGTTTAGTACGGATTTGTATTTTCTTCTCTCCTTGCTTTGCCTACCGTTTTTGCAAAAATTATCTACAATTCAATTTAAATATTTCTTGTTTCATCTTGTCATTAACATTTCGTAAAATATAACAAAAATATAAACGCTGGTATATAAATTACTAAAATTCACTAGTTGACCATTTTATGTTCTTACTTATGTAAATGTATATGTACATACATACATTTTTTTTTTTAAATAATTTTATCTAAAATTTTTTATACCAATAGAATAATGTTTGTTTATGTTTCTTAGCTTGTGTTTAATGTTAAATTTTAAAAATTTACAACGATCAGTTTGGTTATAAATATTCATCAGCAGCAAATTATGTTGGTTTGCTGTTTTTTTTTCTTTTGTCTGTTTTACAAACGTAAAGTAAGGCCCTTAATGCTATTAAAACTAGGTATGCAAATTTTCATTTTGTTGAAATTTCAGAATATTTTGGCATGAACAGAATCAATATGGTTGAGTGTATGTATTTACAAATGTACATTAGGGTGATCCTTAAAAATATCAACATCATGGGTCGCTACCAGGGCTTGAAAAAATTTTAATATATTTTTTAAAACGCGTAAATTCGACAAAATTTCAAGATTTCAAGTGAAAATTTTTTCGAATTTTTGCTATTTAAAAAACTTAAATTTCTTCAAACCCCGGCAGCCAAACATATTGAATTCTTAAAAGTTTTTAAAGCTTCTTTGTACGTAGTACAAAATAAAGGGGTGCCGCATACAAAATTTAAATGTTGAAATTTTAAGGGCCACCTTAATGTGCATACAAATAAATGATTTATTGGTGTGCCTATTCGTTACTTTTTTAATTTTTTTTATAAAAAATAATATGTAGTTAAAATCACAAATTTAAAATGTTAAAAATGTTATGCTAAGCAAATCGATTTTCTATTTTGTAGACTTCTAATGATTTTGTTGAAAATACATATCTACTAATTCTACGATTCTATAGTGTATTTTGTTTTTCACTAAATTTCGCTAATTTTTTTTTAATGTTATTTTCTACAAAAAGAAAAACAAAATGTTCACATTTGAAAAATTATTTTACTTTTGGTTAATTTTTTTTTTATTAAAGACATGTTGCACTTATTAAACCAATATCTTTTTCATTGTTTTCTAGTTTTATAAACATTTTTTGAATTCCAATTTTAAGTCTTTTCTTAACTTTTTTATATTTAAATAAGTCACATTGTAGTTTAGTGCTCTTTAATAAAAAAAAAAATAAAATAAAATAAAAATTATAAAAATAAAAAGCATTGAATTCACTTGCCAATTTGAAATCTAATCAAGCTACTATCACAGTGTTTTGTAATTCGACACAGAAAATAAGTGGCATTTTAATTTCTTTGGTATAACAAAATCTACATACTCTTGGGTGATTTCAACCCAAACAACAACAAAAAAACAAAAAAAAGTAAAATAAAAATGAATTAAAGAAAAGTAATTAATTAACATTAATTAAATTGTGATTTTTTTTTATGAAAACCATTGTCGTTATGGTCCCTGTTTTTGATCGATAAATTTGCAATAAAACAATTTTTTTTTTTTGTAAAAAAAAGTTTTCGAAAACATTCTTCTATTTACATAAATACAAAAGTGTGTACTTAGGCATATATTCTTTTTTTTTGTGACTGTATTACGGGGACATACATATATACTATGTTTAGTACAGCATGTGAATTTCAAAAATTCGTTAAATTTTTTTTTTTTGTGGGCGCATGTTGGACATGGTTTAGTAGAGTTTCCTAAATGCGCTGGATATATTTAAAGCTTCAGAGGTTGCAATATATAGATATATTTTTTTTTTGAAAATTGAATAAATGTAAAACAATGAGGAAAATTTGCTTGGAAGTAGGTAATTGTTTGCACATTAGGGTGGTCCAAAAATATACAGGAAAATCCACTTTTTGAAATTTTCTTGCTGCCACCCACCAGAATTATAGAAAATGGAAAATAGTGAAACGCGTATTTTTTATATTGAAATCGGTTAATATATAACCGTGCCCTTCATAATGCATTCTCAACTTTAAAATTTTACTGGCTACTGTTTCAAAACCGCTAATCTTATCTCGTATATACATAAAAAAACGTGTTATTTAAGCATTCGTAAGTACATCACGTTGGTTATTGAAGAAGCAGTCAGTATAATTTTAACATTAGATATTTTTAAGAAAAATATTGTAATTCGATCAAAAAAAAACTAATATTTTATGGAAAACTTCAAAAGTGAAATACTAACCGATTCCAAAATAAAATAAACCTGTCTTCCTATTTTCCTGTGCATTTTTGAACCACCCTAATACACATGTCTTTTGGTGTAACAATGGAATCTAAAAAGCAAACCAGTAGGAACTAAACCTTTATACGCTACTTCCGCACTAATTAGTTCGAATTAAACCACAAATTAAAGACGCTTTTGCTCGAATCACAAAATTCTATTCAAATCATGCCAAAAGTATTCTTTTTGAAATTCAACAATATGTGATTAAATAATTTTATAAGTAAATTACTACCCAGCCAGCAGAGAAACGTACGATTTGCCGACAGGGCGGTTTTCGCACATTTATAGTATCCGGAAACGTACAGAAAAGGTTTTAAATTTTCCATAATTTAAAACAATAAGTCGAAAATATTTATTTAAACTTAACATTTGAAAACATTTCCTTAAATATGTATGTCTATGAACGTATTCTGGCAGTAGCTGAGTGTACAAAGTGGCCTTCTACTATTCGTTAGCTTTCAGGCGGTGCAACAAGGCTCGAACGCCCTCAGAAGCAACACATTAAAATGTTATAAAAAGTATTTTCAGTAACTACGAAAAAGTATCTATGAAGTTCAGAATGAAAGCGTTTTCAACGGTAAATTAAATCACAAAAAAAAACCCCAAAAACGTATACGTTTTCAGCATCTTTCTAGACACACAAATTCGGATGCACACTTTAGTGGTAGAACGTATCGAAAAAAAACGACCGAAAATCGAATCGGAAAACGAATGGAATATCCGATTTGTATACGAAATTGTTACCCATATTCGGATACGTTTTAGGATATTTTGCTGGTGGGTAGTTAACTATTGCACATGTGTCCGTGTAGGTGCATTAGGGTGCGACACACTTCTTTTGTTTTGGCTCTCCAGTGTGATTTTGTTTAAGGGTTCCGCATAGCTTCCAAAAATCATGCCGACTTAACTAAATGCGGTCAGTTTGATTTTAAGGGCTATGAGAAATTTTTTCCTTGACATTAATCCGCTCGTTAAAGATATCGTTACAATTGCAAGAATCGGATTATTATGGAAAATTCTTAAATCTTTTAGGTAAGTTTCAAAGGTCTACCGCAGTTCGCAAAATAAACTTATCTTATAAAATAAACGGCTTTTAGGGGGTGGATAGCCGCAAAAACAAAATAAGTTGTGACAAGCCCTAATGCATTTCGTACATATTTATGTATGTACATATATACTTATACATATATGCGCGCTTGTTTGTGTTTAACTACATACATTTGTACATACACAATTGATTTTCTTTTTATGCATACTACTCGTACATATGCAAACATTTCATTTAAATTCCTTTTTTTTTTGTTGCTTTTGTTGGTTTGTAAATGCATTTCTTGCATTTTTCAGTATTTTAAATTTTATATTTGAGTATTCGCCTAATTTTTTATATCCTGGTGTAAAGTTAAGTTTTCGCATAGTAGCCTAGGGACATTACATATAGCGATGTACATATCTACATATCTATATACATACATTGTATATGCGTATAATAATAATATTTTAAGTTTATAAACTTACACGCATATAAATACATCCACGCGTGTATGTATGTATGTACATACATATGTACGAATAATTTATTGTTTTAGAATGAAATTGAATTTATGCAAGTTGCTTTCTCAAACGTATGTACATACATGTGTGTGTAAGTTTGTTTACATACATACATGAAGATTGTTAAATTTGTATTGATTTTCACTGGTTTCTTGCTATGCAAACATACATATACATATCGAGCCATTACCGCAGAAAAAACTTAAGCGAAATTTTTTTTCAAAACAGAGCTTCTGAAAGCATTTCTGCGTCATCAAGAAAAAGTTGAACAAAAAAGGCCGCTTGCGTTTTTTTTTGCGGTTAGGGTTCGTTATGTATATATGTATGTACATAAATGGTTTTTGTTTATTTTTTATATATTTTTATGCAATACACATATACATATGTATGTACATATGTGCATACATATATAAATCAATTCGACATTAATATTCCATTAATTTTGCGAAAAAAATCTTCCAAAGACTTTAACACTTGCACGTCTAGATTTTTGCTAGATTAAAAAAAATATATACTCAATATCTTATATACACTTTTTCATTTACATTTCATATATTTTTAATTTTAGTCGTAATTCTTCTTGTTTAAATCCTCTTTTTTGCGTTAGTTTTTTTTTTTTCTTAATTTAATATAAGTATGTTTGTATTACAAAAAAATTGTCTTAAAAAGTCTGAAAAGTATTTCTTGTTGTCTTATATTTGGGCCTATTAATTTTTTTGTTAACACATCTTCCATATTTTCCGCTTTTAGTATATAAATTATACTCCTTTGGCGTTACAGTTATTCGCTTACATACATACTATACATATGTTTACTGTACTATGTATATATATTAAAAATTTGTTAATTTCATAATTTATTGTTTTTCATTTTATTTTATAAACATTCATTTTTAATTTTGTTATTTGATCTCCTTTCCTTCATTTCTTTTGTTGTATATTGCTATGATTTGTTCATTTTTCATTTTTTTACATTTATTAGTTTTCGTATTTTGTTGCATTGTTGTGTATGCATCTTTTGCACATTTTTTTTACATACAAATTGAATTCTTTGATTCTAAATTTATTTTTTATTTTACGTATATACAATGTATATTATACATACTTTCATTGATTTTTATTTATTTTTCTTAATTTACATGTTTATAAACCTTGTTAGTCCTATTCATAAGTTACTGGACGACATAGTGAAAAAACAAATAGTATTGCATACCAAATTTCGGTCAGATATAAACCGATCTCTAATGTGCAAAGTACATATTCCAGACGTAGTTTATATTCTTGCAGAAGGAGTATATAGGAGACACCGAGAAAGCATGGAACAGTTAGGAAAACCGATAAAATAACTGGCCAACCTGTAAAATAAGAGAAAGAAAGAGATTAATGTAATGGCAAGCTGAATATTGGAAAAAAGACATTTTAGAAGGATATACGAAAAAAAAAAAAAATTTGCACAAAATATTTTAAGCATATTTATAATAGGAGCCAAACTATTCTATTTAAGTGATATTCTACTATTATACCTATATTTTTATTAGGGCAAGTAGGTGCATTTGCGTTTGCGCCTGGCGGCAAAATGCCCAAACTTTGTACTTACAATGAACTACCATTGCCGACAGCAGAATTGGTGCACACCAAAATGCCGGTCGATTCTTTTTTGTGTTTTTCTCGAAACGATTTATTTTTTTTAATTTGTATGCACATATTTACTAAAAACCAATTTTGTTAAAACGTATGAGGAGCATGTTTAAGTTATGTTTGTTTGCTATCCGATAAATACACAAATAGATTCAGAGTTATGGTCGAAAATGTGAACATTACTTTTTGTCCATATAATACCCCACATAAGAAAAAAACATCAGGAAATACCACTTCTACATATAAGAAAAAAAAATACAACAAAGAGAAGAATTATTTTTCTAATTCTTTCGCTATTAGCTGATTCATGAAATATGTATTACAATTTGGATATGAAGTTTAAGACAGCTTCCTGGAAAATATTTTTGAAGAGGGTTGCCACATGTTTGAAAATTTTAATTCGATTAAATTGATAAGATAAATCACATATTATTACAATATGGGTATCATATTATATATATTGGCTTGACAACATCTTATTTGAAAATTTTGTACAAGATAGCCGAATGACAGAACATCAAGCGAGAAAGCTGCTTTATTAATTCACCTGCTTATTGCGCCATATACCTAACGCTCCAAAACTTTAGGTGCGCTTAAATTCTCTAACACAGCCAACTTTTTTAATATTTTCTTTATTTATGCTTTTTATAAATCATATATTTTTACAATTAAAAAAAAAAATAACAAACTACGTTTTTTATTGAAAAGTTGAATGTTGAAAAATCACTGCTTTGACGAGCGCACAGTGCCGCTTAAGTGGGCATAAATCCAAAAATTCGTTGTCTGCAATGTGAACGTGTTTGGTATTTTTGTAAAGGTAATTTATCCACTAAAAAGAATAAAACAGAAATTTTCCTATAAAATAAATGATATGCCGCCCGGAAGCCACTAAACTCAACAAATTGTATACTAAGAATTTTAATCAGAGAATAGCTTTTAGCTTCCAAACTAAAAAATAACAGCTGCTAATTTTTTGCATTTTATGAAATAATGCGTGCCTCAGATACGCACGAACAGTTCGATTTTCAAAAACGAGGTGTCACATTAAAAAGACTCGCCTGTAGATTTAAAATAAGGGTTTATTTTTTTGAGTTGCCACCTTTTAAAAAGTTAAATTCAAATTATTTAATAAGTTAAATGAATTATTAAATTATAAGTATCAATGGAAATGGGTGTGAAAAGGGTTTATTTCTTAACTACATGCAGCAGGGTTGCCACCTGTTTAAATAATCTACCCCCATTTGAATTAAGGGAATTAGGTAATTGAAATAATGAATTGAAATAGGTATCACCATATTGGGGTCAGAGGTTTAAGAAAGTTACAGCTTACAAATATTTTGAAGAGGGTTGCCACCTGTGTGTAAAGTCAAATATAGTTAAACTAAAATAATTATTGTATCAAACCAAAGGTCTACGACATCGTATTTGTTGTTTGATTACAAATACATACATACATTGTCAGTCAGTGATTTGTTATGATTACATTTCTTTTAAATTACTGAACTCATAAATTAACCCAGGAATGTTTTTACTCTTCACTTATTTCTTGGGAAATATGTAAAATTTTTTATTGTGTCTGATATCCATATTTATATACATATTTCAGTTACCTTATTGCCTTAATTAAGCTGAATTTGATGTGGCAACATTTCTCCGTATCGTTTAGAAGTAAAGCATTTCAAAATCATTTCAATTGATACTAATTTTAATAAAATTTGTAACAACCCGTTCCAAAAAAATTAAGCCCTGTCATATACACCTCTTTTTTTTTTAAATAGAGCGAACTATATGCACATACCTATGTATGTAAATGCTACACGTACCCAAATTTTCAACTTAAAACTGCACTTACAGTGGAAGTATAAAAGTGATCAAAAAACCAATTGCATTTTTGTACTCAGCGCTCTCAAGTTCAAACAAATTTTCATTTAAATCAGTCCACAATCCTATTTTTGCCCATATTTTATATGGAAGGGAGGCACTGCGGAGCGATGCGAACTTAAAATCGACGCGAAAGTTGTATGTAGACGGGCCTTTATACTCATAGAAAGTACAAAAGTTACCCAAAGTAAAAACTCAAATTTGTAATCACAATGACTTAGATCAAAGCTGTAGAAACTGCGTCCGCCGGGAGTGAGTGGTATCAACCCGATCCCTGTGGCTGTGCCGGTGGCACGCATACTCACATTACTTGCCGTCGACCCGACAATGCGACGCATTTTCCTTTGCTTACTAAACTAAATCAGCTATTTAGTACTTAAATTACATTATACCTCAATGTGAATCCGCTTCGATTAGGGTAAAAAAACGAACTAAACATGTCTTTTATTGACTCGCCTTCAGTGCCTCCTACGTTTCTTAAAGATTGAAAATACATAATTTTTTATAATTTTTTCCTTTTTTTTTAATTTTTCATGTGGCGCGGCCCCCTAGGCTAGCGCCTATGAAGCTTGTGCTTAAATCCGGCCCTGCGTAGCCAAGTCAGTCTTGTACAATTTTTAGGTGTACCCTCAAATGAAATGTTCCAATTCTCAATTTCTCAGGAAGTGTTAATTATATAAAGAAATTGGACAATTGGCGTATCGCTGCTTATATCACTGATGGCTTATTTCTCGTTTTATAAAAAAAAGAAACGAATTTAAATAATTTCAGTGCTGTGACTAATCACTTCCACGTTATCGATTGTTAAATTCAATGAATTCATTTTTTGGCCTGAAATATGGAACAGGATGTAATGTTACTCATACGCCATGGGCACACCATTAAAAATGAAATGTTAAAAGTGCCCATCGATCCCCACATCTGCAAAAAATGCATTATATGAGATTGCCCACAACCAAAGCCACGACGAAGTTCGTCTGACGAAATTCGGCAAGAATAGATTTATTTTTAATTTTGCCGCTGCCGCCGGTCACAAAATCAGCTCTCAGTGGAAAAGTAGCTTTGTTTCCCCATTTTTCTAGCGGATAATTATCAGCAAGAATCAGGATGAAAAAAATTTAGTGATTCATCTCTTCGATTTTGTATTTTTATATTTTTTGTTTGACATTCATTTGATGCGAATTTCGTTTCTGTTCTGTTTTACTGGGCGAAATGTTGCGCCGACCGACGAAATTCGCACAGCGATTTGGTACTGTTTATACTTCTTGAGCTAGCTTGACTGAACTACAAGGAAAAAAATAACAATTTATTACGGTAATTAACCGGTATTCAGCTCTACAATAGTGCGCAGTTAAATTTCGGTTTCTTATGTATGTTTTTCATTTATCAAAACAGAAAACGTTAAACAAATAAATAAATGAAGAACTAAAGGATTTTTGAAAACATCTCTAAGGCAGTTCACTCTTTGATGCAAAAATGCGAAAGGCAAAAATTAGAGTTTGTTTTGTTGCTTGGCTGTGCGTTTGTGCGAAACGACGCTATAACGGTGTCATATGCTTGTTGTAAAAAACTGCCGATTTTCGCACTTTCGCTCAAAGAGTGAACCCTAGTTCTGTGTTCCGTTTCTTAAAGCGCTCTTTAAATTATTACGCTTCTCTTTGGAGATCTTTTCGTGCGTCCGGTTCTACATTGAGTGTTTGTGTGCAATCTTTCGTCTTATCGCAGCAATATTATTCTTTGCAATCCTTTGGTAGTTCCTTTATATTTTCTATAAATTGCAGCATTGCTTACATATCCGCAAAAATTAAATTATTTACACGTTTTTGTTTTATAAGTTTAAAAAAAAAATCGGTTGGCAAACTTGTTCACACTTTAAAGTTAACTAGGCATCTCAGTAAATTTGATAGGCTAGTTAACTGTGAAAATGTCCCGAGTAATTTAAAATATACTTAACTAAAAATTTTCGAACCACTTTTGCTTTAACATTTGTACGAGATTACTTTTTTGTTTTTTTTTTTGCAAATACACAATACACAAATACTACAATAATTTTCTTCTTACTTTTTTCGGCTAGTGAACCTCTGCGTCCGAGTATGATGCGAACGGTCTCTAAAATGCAAAAACCAATCAAAACACCCGAATCTCGTGCCAGAACGTGACTCGGATACGATAGATTAATGGCCTTCAGCAGACCCATACTCAATTCGCAACAGGCGAACATTCCAAAATAGAAGGAATTCAAGTAGATGAGCACTTCGTAGCCAAGACTTGGATTGGCCTTCTTCGGCACGTGGATTGGTGGCTTCTTTGGTGGCGGCATTGCGCTACAACTCAATTACTCCCAACTCACTAACTCACTATTTATTTACATACATACATATGTACTTGAGAGCACTAAACAAATCCAGTTCGTTGATTTGAGTGTGTGTTTGTCTTTGCATTTTCCATGCTTCGCAGTTTAAAAATTTCGATTATCTTGCTTAACATAACTATGTAAGTATGTAGTTTTTTGCACTACATTATTATTTTAATTATTCAGTTTGTTTATAAAAATAGCACGGCAGCTAACCAACATGTTACGGCGTCTGCGACAAATAATTCAAAACTTTTTCTTCTGGGTACCAACATACGTAGTCGTATTCAAAATTGGTCGCGTATCACCGGTCTCTTGCTCGTATGTACTTTTGTCTCGACGCGTATTTATAGACTGACCACGGCAAGCTGGCAGCGTTGCAGCGACCATTGCATATGCAGTTCAGTTGGCGGTACTACCTTTGACTAGGTGCTACATATGTATGTATATATAAGTATGTAAGGATCGGTCGGCCGATGAAAATCATGTCGCTTTATAACAATTCACAATAAGTGCGCGAACGACACTCGAGCGACAGACAGACGACATTACATGAATACCGTTGCATTAGTTTAATCATACATTGTATTCAAATATGTAGGTACGTACCAGTAGTGTGCGGCTGTGTGGCACAGTTTTTGTAAGGCACGTCATCAAGGACGTTCATTTACCCTACAGTCACGTGCATTTTTCCCAAAGTCAAGCATAGCCACTGCTGCAATCCGGTCCGGATGGGATGAATTGAAAGACTTGACTAATACACTAAATTTTAGTTTGAGATCAATATTTTCCTCAATAGTTTTTGATGCAGTAAACACCTTAGCTCTCGGTGTGGGTGAAATTTGCGTTAACCCAGCAGAAAATTTGTGACCACTTCTTGTGTAACCCAGCAGAAACCTGTAATTGCGCGTCTGGTGTGTACAAGTGAAGGTTTCTGGACTAGTTCTGGGTGATATTTCAAGACCATTTCGGGACTAGTTTAGAACCAATTCGAAGCCTGTTCACGACTAGTTCAGGACTAATTTAAATTGTTAACTCGCGAATTTAATAATCAGATTCGGCATTCAGCCTGAAAAAAAGACACTTTTGGCGTAAACGAGCAGGTTACAAAAAAAATTTCATCAAGAAATATATATTTTTTTATTTGCGCCAATATTTCTAGAATTGGTGGACGATAATAAAAACCGCTTTTCTGATTAAAACTCTGAATTTCTACATTCCTAAATGCAGAATAGCACACAAACGAAAGTTCAACAAATTTGTAGTACGGTTACTACTTTTGGCCGCAACTTATATAGGGACGTCCCACTGTGCGTCATGCCTTTCGGCAATAAAGCCGTCATATAAAGCTTATAGAACGCCTAAAACGCTTGGAGTGAAGATCTCACTTAAGTCTGTTTCCGTATGGCATTTTTTAAAACACATTAAATTTGTTGTCATTTCAATGTTGTCATATGGTGAAAAAAAACACTCGGAAGACTGACATAGGTCTCTTAGAATTCAAGGACACCCTATCCTTGCAACTTTTATGAATGCAAGCTGTTATTGGTTGAATGCTTTCCTGATTGATAACTACAAGCCGAGATATACATAAGCCCCGTATTTTGAATCGGAATATCTTTAGAGTAACACTGTTCAAAGAACTCGTAACTTTGAATAAAAGTTTCTGAAAGGTATATTGTGGATTATTTTAATGGAAGACGAAAAAGTATTTAATTTAAACCAGGCAGTTTCGCTATAAATTCATTAGGTCACTTTTAAGGATTATTAAGGGCACTTTCTCATTTTTTTAAGGAAATTTTTAGCTAGTTTCTAGATGGTAAAAATCCGAGCACTGCTAATCACAGTTCAAGTATGAAATCTTTGAATACCGTCTATGTGGAAATTTCATGTACACTCACACGCATACATATGTACATGTGTAAGTACAAAAAACAAAAAGAGTTATCGTCTAAAGTTCAGCCTAAATTCTTTTGTTGATGCATTTGTGCCATACATATATTTATGTATGTATGATTTTTTTTTTCTCAAAACAATGCATTTTTATGCATAGAAATAAATAGCAAATATAAACATACTACATATACATATGTACTAGGAATGTTAATCCCGGGATCCCGGGATCCCGACCCATATTTTTACATTGAATTTTTTAAATAATTTTTGGAAATCATAACTTTGAAATTACAAACTTCTTTAAAATAAATCCTGACGACAGAGAGAAAAAATTAAAACGCCATTTAAAAAAAAAGTAGGTTTCAAACTCATTTAGTTATGATTTATTTTATGGTTTTCAAACAAAATAAAAGTAATTTTTTCGATTTGAGTTGTTGAAAAGTAATGAATATCTAAATGCGGGATTGTGATAACGACATCCTAAAAACCACGGGATCGGAAAAGCCGAAAAATTAACAACCCTAATGTGTAGGTGTGTGCATCTACGCTGCATTTTAACGTATGGAGTCATAAAATTTTTAGTTTATAACAATTTTCCGCCATTCACAGCTGCAGCCGATTGCATCCATTGCCCATGCACCTAATTAAAACGATTATTGCACACCTTAGACTAACAGACACACACACACCCACACACACACACTCTGATGCGTTCATTACCTTTCTACGAGTATGCATTTGTTTTGATTTTGTTGAGTATGGTTTTTTATTTTTTTTTTTTTTTTAATTTTTCAGTGGCGTTGGCTAGCTGTGGCGGTGGTGGCTATTTTTAATATGATTGAGGCAAATTTAGCAATGCATAGAAAGCCTTAGAATCTGCATAAGATAGCGCCAATCTAGCCTACAAATGCAAATCATAGAATTCAGTTTGTGTATTTTTGGTTTCGAGATATGTCGCGTTCGGTAATTAGGCGCATCGATTTCACAATATTTAAAATTCGAACAATTGAGCCGGGCAGCAAATTTTCGATGAAAGTGCATAGAACAATGGCGCAAGTCAAGTGCAATAAGTGTCTGTTTGGTATAAAGTTTAAATAAATACATAATATTCGCAAAAGGCAGAAGCTTAAAAATGCGCAGACGGCGACTCACCTGATTGCAAAGTTGAAATCGAAAAAATGTTTCTGCTTTCGAAACAAAAGATTGCACATTTTCTAGTTTTTT